TTTTCTTCCTCCTCGTTCTCCTTCTCTTTTTCCTCACTCTCATTCGGCCCAAAACAGCCATCACCACCCTCAGCGGCTTTTTCCTCATCATCTTTTTCTTTTTCTTTTTCTTCTTTCTTTTCTTTCCACTCGCTCTCCAACAGATCAATTTTTTTTCTCAGTTCTTCATTCTCTTGAAAAACCATGGCAAATAGACGGGTCTCCAACGTTGTTCCCCCCTGTACATGAAAGAAAAAAAATTAAACTAAAGGGAACATAAATTACAGCTACGTGCACCTATGAAAATATATTAAGGGTGAAACATAAATTAATGTCGACCAAAATTAAAGAAAACCTGGGTCTCCACAAAAGCACGCTCGGCAACCACAGGCGATACCGAATACACCTGCAAAGCAAATCATAATGATTTAAGTACGATATCGATTAACCAAAAAGATAAAAATAAGAAGCAGAAAACACATAATACTATAAAATTATATAAATTACCTTATGCCGCATTACTTTTTTAAGGACTTGTAAAGACCCTTCAAATATAGACGGCATCGAGCTCCCCTTCCATCTAAATAGACGGAAAATCGTCTCGAGCGTGGACCGTTTGCCCAAAGAAGGCATACGCTCGTAAAACCAAGCCTACACACATAGACATGATTTGAAAAGTAAACAAGCTCACCATTTCATATTATTGTATTAAGAAATTCAAACACACATATACATACCATCATCCCAACAACACATCCATCAAAGTAGGATCGTTCTCTCGATCCACCATGGCGAATAAGCTCGGCAACAAGGAATTTATGAGTAGCATCTCCCCATGCGTACTCAGAAATTCGACTCACATCCTCTACGTAAGGGTAAAGAAACCTGGGGATGGAATAACTCGAACAAGGGAACAAAATGCAACTAAAAACAAACAAACTATATCCTGATGAAGTCGTCTACACGACTTTCATCAATAGCAAACTTTTCTAACAACTCTACAACATGGTTTCTTTTCAACAGTTTATTACCTACTCGACCCCAGCCGTCGAATAAGGCTTTCGAATCTAAATTAAGGTCTAAGTCTACGCTTAGACCACCCTGTCGAAGCCCCATCGTTACACAAAACTCGGCGGGGTCAAAATTAAGAAACACATTATCACCTACCACAAAGGCATTCACATCTGCCTTGTATGTGCTAATTAAGGCCTCCACTCTACTATGTAACACCGCTATATCAGGCATATTTAAAAATAAATAAAATGGACTCTTTTGAAGAGCCTGCTTGTGCCGGTCAGAAAGCACGACAACTGTCCTGTCCATTATATCTCTAAAGAACGAAGGGGCACATCGACATCTTAATTCTGTGCCCTATCACAACAAATAAACCAAACAAAAATTTCAAACAACAGAAACAAAATAGCACCATTTCAACCAAACCAAACAGCACCATTTCAACCAAACCAACAACACCATTTCAACCAAACCAGCAGCACCATTAAAGAAAAAATTAGCAACACAATTAAAGAACAAAATAGCAACACAGTCACCAAACAATTCATACAAAATTAAAAAATAATAATAATAAAATTCAGAACATGCTTAACTAATTGAGCCCTAATTAATACAAATTAGGATGATGCTTAACTAATTTAGCCCTAATTGAGTCATAATTCATATAAACCCTAAACATGAAAAGAGCCGTAATTTATAATAAAAATCTTAATTGTTGAAATAAAAATCAAATTCAAAGTTCATTAGCATCAACAAATCCCAAATTTTGGAAAATTTTCGAATTCAAAAAAATATACAAATTTTTTAAAAAAATCCCCAAATTTCGAATTTAAGAAAAAAATTAAAATTGTTGAAAAAAATCCCCAAAAACTTACCTTGCTTACTGTTATAGACCCTAATTTCGAATTCAAGCCCTAAATTGAAAAAAACCCTAATTTTCAAATTCAACCCCTAAATTGAAAAAAACCCTAAAATTAGGAACAAAGCCCAAAAATCAAAAATTACCTTTGAGCTTGGTGATGCCTTCGTGGGTGTAGAAGAGGACGGTTTGCATGGAGATTTCTTTTTGGAGCCGGCCATTTCTTCACAGAGATGCGAACGGCGAGTGACAGAGAGAGAGCGGGCGATGGTGATGAACGAACAGAGAGAGATAGATAGAGAAAGCAGAAAGCCACTGGCGACGGCGACGAACGAACGGAGAGAGTGAGAGCAGAGTTGGCGACGAAAATTCGAAGAGAGAGAGAGAGCAGATTTCAATGGAAGATAGAGAGAGAGAAGAGAACGGTGAGAGAGAGAGAGAGAGAGAAAGACTTCAAAATGAATTCAAGAAAAAAATAAATGAATAATAAAAAGCCTACCTTATATATGGGGAGTGAAATGAAAATAGCAAATTAAGGGTGGGGAGTGCAGAGGAAAAAAATTAGAAGGGGGACTGAATTGGAAGTTGAAAGTGGGAGGGGAGATTTATCTTGAAATTTCCGCGAGATTTATGCATGTATCATGTATGTGTGAAAATGTTAGTAGTCATATAGTTATATACCATCCTGTTACGGGATGGTTCTGTTGTGTTTTCTAGCCATAGATATACATGTAATTTAGTGATGAGTAGTTAATCCAACGGTTAAAAACACAACGGAACCATACCGTAACGGGATGGTAGCATTCCCCTATATTATTACTGAGTTGATATATTTTGTCGAGTAGACTTGACTTATTATTTTAAATAATTTAATAATTTTTTAATAATAAAACATTTCTATATTATATATCATTCTAGTTGAGTATGTAGATAAAAGAAAAAAAAAACTCAAATTAATAAACTTTAATTTTCTATTTCAAGTCAAGGGTTTTTGTGAAAGATATGCTAGTTTGTATAACTTATATTCAAACTCTTTATAATTTATTTCCATTGACACACTAAATTTGAAAATATTTTGAAATGTTAATCACTATAAGACTGTTTAGTGCTTACAATCATGCTCATTTCAATAAATATACATATTTTCGTACTCAAATATCATAATTTATAAAATAATATAAAATATGTATCCATTTAAAACAAAATGATTGTAATAACTATTAATTGTGTTATTGAAGAGTTGAAAGATCGTATCAAGTAATGGACCCATAAGATATAATCATTAAATTTTGAGGCAATGGAACAAACAATGAAAGCCATAAAAAAAGAAAGCAAATAGTAGAGGACATGAGATATATCATGATGTCGGATACTGTCAAATACTTGATAATACAACTATTAAAATTAATCAATATTGTACATGTTTCAACTTCAATTTAATATTTTAGATTAAACAATCCTCATGAATTTTAATCAATGTATTAATGTATCTCAAAGATTCAAATAATATATTTCTAAAACTTGGTCCACGACCATTTGAAGACGTTATGAACTGATTGAATATGTATTTGCTCGAATGGTTGACCCATAGATTATTTTTTACACCAAGGATTAAATTTGATGACTTTTATCATATTGCTTTTGTTATTGATTAGTGTAATTTTCAGTTTGGCTTCCAACTTCAAGTGATAAATGGACTCTTCATTCTTTTTTTTTTTTTTTT